TACAATCATCCCCCCTTCCCTAACACATCCACCCCTTCCCCTACACATCATCCCCCCCCTTTCCTGCACATCATCCCCCCCCTTTTCCTCACACATCCACCCATTCCCTTAACATCACCCCCCCCCTTCCCCCTACACATCATCCCCCCCCTTCCCTAAAATTTTATCCCCCCCTTCCCCTACACATCGTCCACCCCCTTCTTACCATGCCCACCCCCCTTCTTACACATCACCCCACCCCTTCCCTACACACATCCTCCACCTTCCCTACACATCTTCACCCCCTTCCCTACACATCTTTACCCCTTCCTACAATCCCCACTCCCTTCCCCAATCATCCCCCCATTCCCCTACCTTTTCATTCACCCCTTCTCACCATCCACCCCCTTTCCCCCTACACATTCATTCCCCCCCCTACACATCGTCCACCCCCTTCCCCACCATCATCCACCCCTTCCCACACACATCCACTCCTTCCTACACACCCTCCACCTTCCCTACACATCATCCCCCCCTTCCCTCACATCATCCCCCCTTCCCTACACATCATCCCCCCCCCTTCCCCCTAACCATCCCCCCCTTCCCCTACACACCGTCCCCCCCTTTCCCCTACACACGCCACCCCTTCCTACACATCCCCACCCCTTCCCTACACATCGTCCACCCCCTTTTCCCTACACATCGTCCCCCCCCTTTTCTCTACACATCGCCCACCCCCTTCCCTACACACCGCCCCCCCCTTCCCTACACATCGTCCCCCCCCTTCCCACAATCGCCCCCCCTTCCCTACACATCGTCCCCCCCCCTTTCCCCTACACATCGTCCACCCCCTTACACACACCCCCCCTTTTCCTACACATTTTCCCACCCCCTTCCCACACACCCACCCCCCCCTACCTTTCCCCCTTCCCTCACTTCCCCACCCCTTCCCCACACATCCCCCCCCTTCCCTCACTCTCCCCCCTTTCCCCTACACATCACCACCCCCTTCCCATAAAAACCCCACCCCCTTCCCTACACTCATCCCCCCCTTTCCCCCAACATCACCCACCCCCTTCCCTACAATCTCCCCCCCTTCCCTACACATCCACCCCTTCCCTACACATCTCCCCCCCCTTCCCTACAATCCCTCCCCTTCCCTACACATCCCCCCCTTCCCTCACATCATCCACCCCCTTCCCATACTTATCCCCCCCTTCTCTCAATCATCCCCCCCCTTTCCACACTCACATCCACCTTCCCTACACTCTCCCCCCCCTTCCCTCCCAATTACCACCCCCTTCCCCTACATTTTATCCCCCCTTTTCCCTACACATATCCCCCACCTTTCCCCACACCCATCCCCCCCCCTTCCCTACAATCATCCACCCCTTCCCTACACATCATCCACTCCCTTCCCACACATCACCCCTTACACATCCACCACCTTCCTTACACATCATCCACCCCTTCCTTACAATCATCCCCCCCCTTCCTTACACATCATCCCCCCCCCTTCCTACAATCATCCACCCCCTTCCCTACACATCATCCACTCCCCTTACACATCACCCAAACCCCCTTCCTTGAAAATCACCCCCCCCTTCCCTTTTCACATCATCCCCCCCCTTCCCTTTACACATCCACCCCCTTCCCTACAACATCCCCCCCCTTCCCTACCAGCCCAGGGCAGCATGGGTTTAGAGCGGGGTCGCTCCTGCCTACCCCAAAATATGGCCACTATGACAGGGTCTTGGATCTCGGGAGGAAAAAAAAAAATGCAAATGTCGTATACACAGAAAAGTTGAGCATGGTGTAATAGATCAAAAATGCTTGATAAGGGGGGTTTCCAACAGACCCCTGGCAGTTTCAAGCTGGCACTGGACAGCAACTAAAGTCAGTTCCTGATCACCGGGCTGTGGCTGTACGTTGGTTTGCGTCAGCCAGCAGAACAGTGGGTTTATCAGGCGCTGATCCACCGGAGGGCCCGGTCAAGCCGGGGGCCCCGGGGGCGTTGACCCCGAAACTCTCTCCAGGGGAAAATCCAGGTAATAACTTCTTAACACAGAGTAAGTCAGGGGGGCTACAGTGAAAAACTCTGTTCCCCAAAGGGACTTTTTCGTTCCCCCCTTCCTTATCCTTAACTGCAGAAAGAGGTGTAAGCCCCTGCATCGTGTCCTCCTTTGAGTGACACCCGAATTTGCATTGGGTCATCCTCGAGGACACTGCAAACCTCCCAATGGCTATCAACCCAAATTTTTTAAATGGACGCAGAAAACAGTATGAAGTTCAGTCAGAGGCGTCACTGGAGTTGGTGTCACCCGGGGGGGCATTTTGTGTCACCCTCCCCTGAAATCAAAGGGGGGGGATTGGGGAGTAAACAGCAGTTACATCATTGCTGCATACCTGACTAATGTTTAGCACTGAGAACGTTTAAAGGACATAAACCGAACTTTATTAATGATAAAATAAATAATCGTAGTAATATTGAGGAAACAAACTCAAATACCACTTTCAACAATGAAAAAAAAAAACTTGAAAAATAAAAAAACACTAGTTCCGATTTAACCTTGAGTACAGGTAACATCTCAAAGAATCTGATATTTAATTTCCTTGCCTTCAATCCTGCAAAATCATCTATCACATCAAAATCAATGATTTTCCCCATATAGGCCTATTTGTACTATGTAATCCTATAATAGGCTATATAGAAACGAAGAATTTTTCTCTTAGGTTGCTGCAGCATGGTTTTGGTCATCAGTGTTACCTTCTTTAGAGGCTCTATGGTGTCACCCCCCTAAATGGTGTCACCTGGGGCGGCCCCCTCCCTTACGACGCCTCTGAGTTCAGTGAAGACAAATTTCAGTTACTCCGGTATAGAAAAAAGGAAATTAGAACTGTTTTGGAGTGTAAAACAAATTCCAACTACACAATAGAGCGAAAAACTAATTTAAAGAACCTGGGAGTGATGAGGAACTCGCTTTCAAAGATGAGTTATGTATCTACCACATCTGCTAGGAAAATGATAGGATGGATAATAAGTACCTTCAAAACTAGAGATGCCAGGCCCATGATTCTCTTCAGATCACTTGTTCTCTCTAGGCTGGAATATTGCTGTACACTAACTGCTGCTTTCAAGGCCAGTAAAATTGCAGACCTAGAAAATAGAGAACTTTCTTGGCATGTATAAGTACGATTAAGCACATAAGTTACTGGGAATGGTTAAAGTGCCTTGATTTGTACCCCCTGGAACACAGGTAAGAAAGATACGTGATAATATACACTTGGAAAATCCTGGAGGGACTAGTCTCAAATCTGCACACGAAAATCACTCCCTACGTAAACAGACTTGGCAGGAGATGCAACGTCCCCCAATGAAAAGCAAGGATACCACGAGTATGCCAAAAGACAACACTAAGTGTCACCAGCATATATACGGGGGATTATCAGTAGAGCCCTGAGTGTCTTCAAGAAGGCGCTGGACAGGCATCTAAAGTCAGTACAGTACCTGACCAGCCAGGCTGTGGCTCGCACGTCAGTTTACATGCGGCCAGCAGTAACAACCTGGTTGATCAGGCCCTGATCTACCATAAGGCCTGGTCATGGACTGTGCCATGGGGGCATTGATCCTCAAAACCCCCTCCAGGTATACCCATTGCCTATACATCATCTACTTTCCTTCACTTGCAAATTGTCCACCTTTCTTCACTTGCACTTCATCCACCTTCCTTCACTCACACACCATTCGCCTTCATCTTCCCCACACACCACCTGGAGGGAATTCCGGGGATCAACGCCCCCGTGGCCTGGTTCATGACCAGGCCTCCCAGTGGATCAGGACCTGATCAACCAGGCTGTTACTGCTGGCCGCACGTAGTCCAACGCATAAATCACAGCCCGGCTGATCCAGCACCGACTAAGTATCTGTTCAGCTCCCTCTTGAAGGCAGCCAGGGGCCTATTGGTAATTCCCTTTATGCATGGTGGGAGGCTGTTGAACAGTCTTGGGCCCCAGACACCTATGGTGTTTTCTCTTAGTGTACCAATGGTGCCCCTACTTTTCATTGAGGGTATTTTGCACCACCTGCCCAATCTTTTACTCTCATAGGGAGTGATTTCTGTGTGCAGATTCAGGACCATTCCTTCTAGGATTTTTCCAAGTGTAGATTATATCTCTCTCGCCTGTATTCCAACAAGTACAAGTCAAGTGCTTCTAAGCGTTCCCAGTAGTTGAGGTGTTTGATAGAACTTATACGTGCAGTAAAGGTTCTGTGTGCACTCTTTAGATCTGCAATTTCACCTGCTTTGAATAGAGATGTTAATGTACAGCAATATTACAGCCTAGAGAGAACAATTGATTTGAAAAACATTATCATTAGCTTGGCATCTCTTGTTCTGAACGTTTTCATTATCCATCCTATCATTTTCTTTGCAGTTGTGATCGTGGCACTGTTGTGATTCTTGACAGTGAGATCCTCAGACATTACCACTCCCAGGTCCCTCACATTATTTTCCCACTCTATTGTATGATCAGAGTTTGTAGTATACTTCAGTTCTAATTATTATCTCCTCCAGTTTTCCATAACAGAGTAGTTGGAATTTGTCTTCATTGAACATCATTTTGCTTTCCTTTGCCCATTGGAAAACTTGGAGGTTAACTGTGTCCTCAATAGATGACAGTCTGGTGCAGAGCCTAGTATCGTCTGCAAAGGATGACACAGTGCTATGGATTACATCTCTGTCTATTCCTGATATGAGGATGAAGAACAGGATGGGGGCAAGTACTGTGCCTTGTGGAACAGAGCTTTTCACTATTGCAGCTTCCGATTTAACTCTGTTGACCACTACTCTTTGTGTTCGATTGGTTAGAAAGCTAGAGATCCATCTCCTCACTTTGCCAGTTTTTCCTTTAGCACGTATTTTGTGCTCTATTACGCCACGATCACACTTGTAATATACTTGTAATATACACAGACTTTTGCAAAGTCTGTACTCACCTAGTTGAGGTTGCGGGGGTCGAGTCCGAGCTCCTGTGTATACATCTGCATTCTGTTTTTCTTCCAGTGCATCCAAGACCATATCATAGTGATTCAGTAGTTGTGAGAGGCAGGAGCGACCTGCTCTGAACCCATGTTGCCCTGGATTGTGCAATTTTGGGGAATCCAAGTGGTTTGTAACCATGCTTCTTAGAACTCTTTCAAAGATTTTTATGATGTGGGACGTTAGAGCTATTGGTCTGTAGCTCTTAGCTAATGCTTTGCTGCCACCTTTATAGAGTGGGGCTATATCCGTTGTTTTTAGTGACTGGAATTTCACCTATGTCTAAACTCCTCCATAGTATACTTAGGGCACACAAAAGGGGTTTCTTGCAGTTCTTAATGAACCCAGAGTTTCTTAGCGAATACATCCACTTCCCTTGTCCCTTTCCACAATACAAAATTTTTAACTGTTGTCCATGTAATGCCCCACAGAGGCAACAGGGAACAAGTACAGCGGGTACGTGAGATCATGGTATGCCTCACCACTGACAGCTCCTCGCTTCACCCGCACCATGGCCTCTACCACAGTCAGGGAGGCATCCAGGATAAGACTCTCCACAGAGTACCGCGGTTCACCCACACCCAGGGCAAAGTGGTACAGGTGAGGCTTGCTCAGGGGAAGGGAAGGAGAGGAAGAGGAGAGATAGAAAATAATTGGTTTCATATAATTACAAATAGGTAATTACAAATGATAAATCACATGGACTTTTATTCCCTTTTGCTGTGCCTGCAGAAACAATGAGTTGCTGCCATTGTGTGAGGAGTACCCACAAAGCTATGATGGAAAGACTGCTACCCTGGAGATCAATGAAGCTACTATAGCTGATGCTGGTACTTACACCTGCGTCCTGGTTAATGATGCTGGCAGGACAGAGTGCTCCTGTGAAGTAAGTTGCGGCCCAGTCCCTGGACCCATTATGTTCCTTTGTAATCCTTTGACTATGCCTTCAAGATGGTTATAGGGTGCATAATAAATATTCTTCTAAGTTTCAACCCTGACATGTTCAGATAATTAAATTTTAAGAGCTCTTTAGTAACTAAGAGATCAGAGATTCATTTATTAGGTGTTTACTGATCATGTTTAGTAAATGTGCTGAGATTATGAAAGATCTTGTAATTTTTTTGAGCCAGTTAGCAGGGAGTTTGCTTATCCCCTCCCCTTTGTGAGACCAAGGTTTATCTATATCATTGGTCTAATATTAAGATCTTGTCTCATAACATGTGGAAGTGACATAAGTTTTATAATTTTGCTGAAATGTGTGGTTTATTACCCATGCTGAAACCCTTGAGATTCAGAATTTCTTGAATGAGTTGCATGTGAAGGGTTCCAGAACACTGACATCAAAGCTTAATGCTGAGGCAGGTTTGTTGATGGTCACAATGAAGACTTGATTGATACTCAGGTGACCCAGATCTATGCATAGATAAATTGTTTTACTGGCTAAGACATCAGCATGAGAGGAAAATTGTTAAAGGATCTCAAGATAATAAATTTTTCATGAGGGGGAATGTGATTAACCATGGTTTTGTTTTGAAACTTCACAAGGCTGTGGTTGGTTAGTTGCTGTAAGTGAGTGCATCTTGTCAGCCCATTCTTGGTCTGTGCATGTACACAAAGGTGCCCTCTCAGCATATATATACACAGTGTTTGCTTTTAATTTGTATATGAAAGAGTAAAGTATTCTTGATTGGCAGCATACAGGTTTGTTGACTTTAAACCCATCAAACTGCCTAATCCTTACTGCATGTCTTACCAACATAGCATCCATCCCATTATATTTAAAAATGTGACTGCTTTACAATTCACAGTACACAAATTGTTTCAGGTGATGGTGGAGCACCACAAGGACACAGGAGACCAGCCTCCATACTTCCTTAGACCACTACAGGATCATGTTGCCCTTGACGGTGACCAGGTCACATTATCCGTCAAACTTTCAGGTGAGTATTTTAGCATGTGTGGGGACTGTTAATGAGAAATCTGTTGAACTGAGATTAATGGTATTTTGCATTATGGTGCCAAGATTTGTGTTGTTAGTTAATTGTTCATTAGCTATGGTGCAAAGAATGTTTTTATGTCATGTTAGTGTTTTTCTTGTTAGATATTGCTGCACATTTAGTGTTGCAGTATTAAAATTTAAATGTTATTACATTTATTGATGAGTAGTGTAGTATTTTAATGAGCTTCATGATGTTTTTAAGCATAAGTACAAAAAGTGTTGAGGTAGTGTTTTTGCCTTAGGTATGGAGGAGACGTTAGTACAGTATTGCTAACGAGATCGATGGTTTGGATTAACTATTGTGTTAAGGTGCATGTTGTGGCCGAGATTAGTGCTCTGGACATTAATCAAGGTACCAAGATGAGTCGCATAGCAGTGAGATATTTTTTCATTTTAGCAATAGTGCTCAAGCCACTTTCAGTAGCAAGATCACTGTTTTTCACAAGTGCTCATCATCTTTTGTACATTTTTGTATTGCTGAAAATCTACTGAAAAAAAAATGATAATATAGGAGCCATAGCTACAGACAACAGGTATCTGCACCTTATTGTAGATGTTTTTAGCCCCATACATTTTTTTTTTCTCATTCTGAAGAGCTTGTCTGCTGGTATTAGTTGATTAATGGCTGAATGCAAGTGTAAGCATGCAAAGAAAGTAAATCAATCCATTTGAAAACACATGTTTGAAATTACCAATTCTTAGATAATCAAAATAAAATGGTATTCTCCAGGTGAAAGGGACATGCACCAGAGACATATTTCTTGAATGAATGATGTGAAGACTTGAAATGACATTTGTTTAAAAAAAAAATATAGCAGTGTTACAGTGGTATGATCTCATCAGGGTCGAGGCCCATGAAAGTGGTTTGGGTTCGTGATGATCAGGAGATCCCAGACTCTCCAGACTTTGCCTACAAGGAGGATGAAAGTGGCAAGTTCTCTCTAATGATCCGTGATGTGTTCCCTGAAGATGCTGGCATCTATATCTGTGAAGCCTACAATGCATATGGTGATGTCAGTTGCTACTGCAGGCTTGCTGTTCATGGTAGGTTGCAGTTATGACAACTAGTAAGCTGGCTACATCTTCATTGAAGATGGAGTTCAAAGATTTCATGCATTCTGTGTATGTTACTTATTTAGTTGTATATTTTATTTAGTTATTTATCAACATTGGCACACCATAGCCTAACATTTAAATAAAAGCTTACTACATGTATATGTATCTGGAATGACTTGAGTAAGACTACAGATGGTTTTATGTAAGCATGAAAGTTGTATAACAATTCATAGTATATTTGAGCTGTAACAACACTGAACCTGTTGAATTAAAAAAATTGAGTATTTTTACAATTTATTTGCATAATAATAATAATACTGTACTCTAATTTAGTTTAAAAGACAAGTACTTACAACATATGTAAAGATACTAGATTGCTAGTATCCACTTAGCCATAAACCCCATAGGTTTATCTAAGGAAAATAAGTAGTAAAAATATGTACCATCAATGCACCACACAGAAACAGGTGGGTATATACAGAGAAAGATCACAGTCTGCAGGATTCAAACTCGCTGCAGGAAGGCTGGCAAAGTTCCCGAGTGACACACTCCACCACTCGGCCACAAGTGCCTCAAAACCTGGGCAGCCTGGTTTACAAGCCATGTTTTTCCCAGCCTGGCTGAGTGAAGTGTCACTTGAGAACCTTTTCAGTCTTCCTGTAGCAGGTTTAAGTCCTGCTGACTGCGATCTTACTCTGTATACGTACCATATAGTATTGATATTACACTTATTAGAGCTTTCCAATAACTTTAACATTCATTTCATAACCAAGATCACTGTAGCAAGAATCATATTTACATATATGAATAATCTGTCTCCTATTGCTAAAATAAACAAATCAATAAAGGGCAATTCCTTCAAAGGGGTGTCTTGGTGCTGGTGAAGGGCTCTTGATCCAAAGAATTGGAGCTAACCTCCCTTTCATCAGATCAAAATTACATCTAGTGCACTGTATGACCCCTGTGGGTTTAGCATTTGCCCATGAATAATAATAATGAACAGTGTCAGTGAGATGGGAGCAAACCTTAATTAAACAGTCAAAGACCTGGGAGTGATCATGTCGGAGGATCTCACCTTCAAGGACCATAACATTGTATCAATCGCATCTGCTAGAAAAATGACAGGATGGATAATGAGAACCTTCAAAACTAGGGAGGCACAAGCCCATGATGACACTCTTCAGGTCACTTGTTCTATCTAGGCTGGAATATTGCTGCACACTAACAGCACCTTTCAAGGCAGGTGAAATTGCCGACCTAGAAAATGTACAGAGAACTTTCACGGCGCGAATAACGGAGATAAAACACCTCAATTACTGGGAGCGCTTGAGGTTCCTAAACCTGTATTCCCTGGAACGCAGGAGGGAGAGATAAAATGATTATATACCCCCTGGAAAATCCTAGAGGGACGAGTACCGAACTTGCACACGAAAATCACTCACTACGAAAGCAAAAGACTAGGCAGACGATGCACCATCCCCCAATGAAAAGCAGGGGTATCACTAGCACGTTAAGAGACCATACAATAAGTGTCAGGGGGCCGAGACTGTTCAACTGCCTCCCAGCACACATAAGGGGGATTACCAACAGACCCCTGGCAGTCTTCAAGCTGGCACTGGACAAGCACCTAAAGTCAGTTCCTGATCAGCCGGGCTGTGGCTCGTACGTTGGTTTGCGTGCAGCCAGCAGCAACAGCCTGGTTGATCAGGCTCTGATCAACCAGGAGGCCTGGTCACAGACCGGGCCGCGGGGGCGTTGACCCCCGGAACTCTCTCCAGGTAAACTCCAGGTATAAACAAGGTTCCTGTGAGCTATGGTTATTCATATTTGATACACTATATATTTTAAAGTGCATCATGTTTCTTGCACATACGTACAGTAAAAAAATAAGAATTGAAATCTGCAGTCAAGTTTACAAATAAAGTAGACATAGGCTATTGATTTTTTTATATGCTTAAACTACATGAATGAAATCACTGCTGAAGGTATTCATGTAACAAATTATCAATAGCAGTCATTAACCATTATTGATGTATGTAGATTTTCATTATTTTTATATTCCCAGGAAAGCACTAAGTGCATTAGGGTCATAGCACCTGGGTAATGGGAAATAATTGGATTTGATGAAAATAAGCAGAATGTAACTCTTAATTCCTTGGAGTTAGAACACTTTACATGTATCAGGCATTCTCCTTGAAGGGTGGCACATGGATCACCCAGCAGTAGGGTGTTGGCCTTGTTACTACCAGTTACTGACCTTGTGCCCTTGTTACTCCTAATACTGGTTTTATCACTTTTCAGTAAGCAGTGATAAGCTAGCCAGTAATAAACTAGTATACCCTCTGATTACTGTGTAGGTTGACTGTACTGACCAGTTATTAGTTAACATGCGAGCCAAAAAGGCATTCAAAATTCTTCTTCCATTCCTGTAATCTGCACCCAATTACAGGGTGCATTTTTTATTTGATAGATTTATAGCTCTTGTCCCCATCTTTGTGCTGTTATGGACAGTTGTATTATTTTAATTTTTGAAAAACAGATTTTATCAAAGAAACTTGAAATAATATGGCAAGTGATAAGATAAACTAGGCAGTGACCCCTGAAGATACAGTACATGTACGTTGTCTCACTCATATAACAATCAAATTTAAAATTTTGGATAAAGGTTTGTATATTCTCTTCACAACTACTATGTTTGCAATATACAGTGTCTAGTGTATAAACATTTGCCATTCTTCATAAATCCAGTGCTACATTTGATATTCATATGGGGACATGTTTAGCATTATATTGACACGAGCTGATTTGTGTGTTAATTCTAGTTACTTGATATTAATTTATGGAATAATTTTTTCTTTGTTAAGCCATACTCTGTTACTAGGAGGGTAGAGCTCCTAAGAAGGTGAGAGTACATGTACGTTGCAAAGAAGATTTGTAAAAAAGTTCACACGATACTGTAATATGAGTTCATTAAATTAGGGCTCATAATAAGATATATATAGGTAAGATATATATAGATATATAAGATATATATAGGTAGTAGGTTGGTAGACAGCAACCACCCAGGGAAGTACTACCGTCCTGCCAGATGACTGTGAAACAAAAACCTGTAACTGTTTTGCATGATGGTAGGATTGCTGGTTCCTTTTTCTGTCTCAAAAAACACGCTAAGATAACAGGGATATCTTGCTACTCCTACTTACACTTTGGTCACACTTCACAGACACACACATGCATATATATATATATACATACATCTAGGTTTTTCTCCTTTTTCTAAATAGCTCTTGTTCTTTTTTATTTCTTCTATTGTCCATGGGGAAGTGGAAAAGAATCTTTCCTCCGTAAGCCATGCGTGTCGTATGAGCCGACTAAAATGCCGGGAGCAATGGGCTAGTAACCCCTTCTCCTGTATACAATTACTAAAAAAGAGAAGAAGAAAAACTTGATAAAACTGGGTTGCTTAAATGTGCGTGGATGTAGTGCGGATGACAAGAAACAGATGATTGCTGATGTTATGAATGAAAAGAAGTTGGATGTCCTGGCCCTAAGCGAAACAAAGCTGAAGGGGGTAGGAAAGTTTCAGTGGGGGGAAATAAATGGATTAAATCTGGAGTATCTGAGAGAGTTAGAGCAAAGGAAGGGGTAGCAGTAATGTTAAATGATCAGTTATGGAAGGAGAAAAGAGAATATGAATGTGTAAATTCAAGAATTATGTGGATTAAAGTAAAGGTTGGATGCGAGAAGTGGGTCATAATAAGCGTGTATGCACCTGGAGAAGAGAGGAATGCAGAGGAGAGAGAGAGATTTTGGGAGATGTTAAGTGAATGTATAGGAGCCTTTGAACCAAGTGAGAGAGTAATTGTGGTAGGGGACTTGAATGCTAAAGTAGGAGAAACTTTTAGAGAGGGTGTGGTAGGTAAGTTTGGGGGTGACAGGTGTAAATGATAATGGGAGCCCTTTGATTGAACTTTGTATAGAAAGGGGTTTAGTTATAGGTAATACATATTTTAAGAAAAAGAGGATAAATAAGTATACACGATATGATGTAGGGCGAAATGACAGTAGTTTGTTGGATTATGTATTGGTAGATAAAAGACTGTTGAGTAGACTTCAGGATGTACATGTTTATAGAGGGGCCACAGATATATCAGATCACTTTCTAGTTGTAGCTACACTGAGAGTAAAAGGTAGATGGGATACAAGGAGAATAGAAGCATCAGGGAAGAGAGAGGTGAAGGTTTATAAACTAAAAGAGGAGGCAGTTAGGGTAAGATATAAACAGCTATTGGAGGATAGATGGGCTAATGAGAGCATAGGCAATGGGGTCGAAGAGGTATGGGGTAGGTTTAAAAATGTAGTGTTAGAGTGTTCAGCAGAAGTTTGTGGTTACAGGAAAGTGGGTGCAGGAGGGAAGAGGAGCGATTGGTGGAATGATGATGTAAAGAGAGTAGTAAGGGAGAAAAAGTTAGCATATGAGAAGTTTTACAAAGTAGAAGTGATGCAAGGAGGGAAGAGTATATGGAAGAAAAGAGAGAAGTTAAGAGAGTGGTGAAGCAATGTAAAAAGAGAGCAAATGAGAGAGTGGTGAGATGTTATCAACAAATTTTGTTGAAAATAAGAAAAAGTTTTGGAGTGAGATTAACAAGTTAAGAAAGCCTAGAGAACAAATGGATTTGTCAGTTAAAAATAGGAGAGGAGAGTTATTAAATGGAGAGTTAGAGGTATTGGGAAGATGGAAGGAATATTTTGAGGAATTGTTAAATGTTGATGAAGATAGGGAAGCTGTGATTTCGTGTATAGGGCAAGGAGGAATAACATCTTGTAGGAGTGAGGAAGAGCCAGTTGTGAGTGTGGGGGAAGTTCGTGAGGCAGTAGGTAAAATGAAAGGGGGTAAGGCAGCCGGGATTGATGGGATAAAGATAGAAATGTTAAAAGCAGGTGGGGATATAGTTTTGGAGTGGTTGGTGCAATTATTTAATAAATGTATGGAAGAGGGTAAGGTACCTAGGGATTGGCAGAGAGCATGCATAGTTCCTTTGTATAAAGGCAAAGGGGATAAAAGAGAGTGCAAAATTATAGGGGGATAAGTCTGTTGAGTGTACCTGGTAAAGTGTATGGTAGAGTTATAATTGAAAGAATTAAGAGTAAGACGGAGAATAGGATAGCAGATGAACAAGGAGGCTTTAGGAAAGGTAGGGGGTGTGTGGACCAGGTGTTTACAGTGAAACATATAAGTGAACAGTATTTAGATAAGGCTAAAGAGGTCTTTGTGGCATTTATGGATTTGGAAAAGGCGTATGACAGGGTGGATAGGGGGGCAATGTGGCAGATGTTGCAAGTGTATGGTGTAGGAGGTAGGTTACTGAAAGCAGTGAAGAGTTTTTTACGAGGATAGTGAGGCTCAAGTTAGAGTATGTAGGAAAGAGGGAAATTTTTTCCCAGTAAAAGTAGGCCTTAGACAAGGATGTGTGATGTCACCGTGGTTGTTTAATATATTTATAGATGGGGTTGTAAGAGAAGTAAATGCGAGGGTCTTGGCAAGAGCGTGGAGTTAAAAGATAAAGAATCACACACAAAGTGGGAGTTGTCACAGCTGCTCTTGCTGATGACACTGTGCTCTTGGGAGATTCTGAAGAGAAGTTGCAGAGATTGGTGTGAGATTTGGTAGGGTGTGCAAAAGAAGAAAATTAAAGGTGAATACAGGAAAGAGTAAGGTTATGAGGATAACAAAAAGATTAGGTGATGAAAGATTGAATATCAGATTGGAGGGAGAGAGTATGGAGGAGGTGAACGTATTCAGATATTTGGGAGTGGACGTGTCAGCGGATGGGTCTATGAAAGATGAGGTGAATCATAGAATTGATGAGGGAAAAAGAGTGAGTGGTGCACTTAGGAGTCTGTGGAGACAAAGAACTTTGTCCTTGGAGGCAAAGAGGGGAATGTATGAGAGTATAGTTTTACCAACGCTCTTATATGGGTGTGAAGCGTGGGTGATGAATGTTGCAGCGAGGAGAAGGCTGGAGGCAGTGGAGATGTCATGTCTGAGGGCAATGTGTGGTGTGAATATAATGCAGAGAATTCGTAGTTTGGAAGTTAGGAGGAGGTGCGGGATTACCAAAACTGTTGTCCAGAGGGCTGAGGAAGGGTTGTGAGGTGGTTCGGACATGTAGAGAGAATGGAGCGAAACAGAATGACTTCAAGAGTGTATCAGTCTGTAGTGGAAGGAAGGCGGGGTAGGGGTCGGCCTAGGAAGGGTTGGGGGAGGGGGAAAAGGAGGTTTTGTGTGCGAGGGGCTTGGACTTCCGCGGGATGGGAGCGTGTTTGATAGGAGTGAATGGGACAAAGGGTTTTTTAAAAATACTGACGTGCGTTGGGTGTGACAAAGTAACATTTATGAAGGGATTCAGGGAAACCGGCAGGCCGGATTTGATCCTGGAAGGGGAAGTACAGTGCCTGCACCTGAAGGGGGGTTTTAATGTTGCAGTTTAAAAACTGATGTAAAGACCCTTCTGATGGAGTGAATGAGGGTGAAGTTTTCTTTTTGGGGCCCACCCTGCCTTGGTGGGAATGGGCCGGTTGAAAATAAAAAAAAATAAAAAAAAAATAAGTATACGTTTATTTAATTTATGCTTTGCAAACAGACTTAAATTTTCATATTTACAATAGTGGGGGGGGCAATGAAAAGGGAAGCCTGTTAGCCTAGGCTTTAGGGCCCCCCCAGCATTTTGGTTTTCAACTACTTTTTTTTTTAATTAATATGCATCCCTACACGTCCCGAGCGGCCCAGCGACCCCCCCAAGGGCTCGTGGGATCCTGACCCCCTTTGAGGTGGAGGAGGGGTCGCCAGGTTCTGTGTTTTCTGTGTATGGCTCCCCAAAGCCCATCCCACGGGTACGGGACGGCCGCAAGATTAAACCCCCTCTCCTAAATAAAGGTACATTCCTGTGTGCATTACACTTTCTAGGTAGACATAAATGGTAAGTTGCCAGTCTGCGGGTGTAACAAAATTGCCTTATGAAAAAGACAAACATATCTAAAGCAAAATTAAAAATAATTACAGTGGAACTCCGGTTTCATACGCACTGAAATCATGTTTCGATTTAGACCATTTTTTTTACCTCCACCGGAAATCATATGTAAAAATTGTTCCCCTGCCCGGGGGAAGCTGCCACTCTTTTGGTACGTGTCTCGCGGCTCTGTCACGGGTTTCGAGTGAGCATTATTTTTGCGTGTTCATCCGAAACTTTTTGTAATAATCTATTGTTTTTTGTGCTTAGCATTGAGTACAACTGAAAAAAAGCCCCCAAAGGGGCCCCAAAAAAATTCCTGGGCCAGCTCTTGGGAAAGAAGGTGAGAAAAAATGAAGAAATCAAGAAAGAATTGTAGAAAAATACAAAAAGGGAGTACAGATATTTAGGGCCAGCTTTTCCCGGATTATGGAAGTTTAAATCAACAATTTTCCACCCGGCAAGAAAAATAGAAAACAAGGAAGCTAAAGTTGCAAAAAGGGATAGGTTGTGGTCATCATTTTCGAAAAGGGGAAGGCATTGCGCAATCTTTAAGGAAAAAATTTTGTGAATTTAAGGGCCCGCAGAGGCTGGTTCAACAGATTAAAGAAGGTAGTGGCATGCCGGTGTAAGGCATGGTGAGGCCCCTTTTAGGCAAAACTTAGAGACACCAGAAACGAGCTCTCTGGACAGATTTTTAGTGTGAAGGGGGGGGGGGGCCCGACAGTAAAAGAAAAAAAGGGAAGTAACCCCGGAAGGGCTTTGATACCGAAGTCCTTTTGGGGGGAAATTCCCCTTCCAAAAATAAGCTCTCCTTTTCTCTCTCTCCCCCCCCGCCTTCTTCCCTACCCAACAAGGGGTCCAATAAATGTAGTAATAGGAAATTTTAAAAGTTCATTTTCCATTTCATTAGTGGGTTTTTATTTTTCCCATTTTTTTCTGTATGTAAAACTATAGATTTTTTAAAAATGTACTTTTTGTTAAAATTTTTTGGGGGGTCTGGGAAAGGATTAATTGTATTTCATTATTACAGTGGACCCCCGTTAACGATATTTTTTCACTCCAAAATGTTCAGGTGCCCGTACTGACCGAATTTTTCCCCTAAGGAAATTGTGAAGTAGATTAGTCCCTTTCAGACCCCCCAAAATACAGTACAAACGACTTACATAAAACCTTTCATAATTGGTCGCATTCGAGGTGATCTTTTGGGGAGTCCACTGTACTTATGGGAAAAAAATTCTTTGGTTTTCATATGCTTAGATTAGACCGACCTTCTGGGAAAGGAAAGGACGAAATCTGGGGTTCCCCTTATTTTTAAATATTAAAAAATCAAATTTTCTTTTTGGTTTAATGTATAAATATGTACGTAATACTAAAATTGGGTGTGGCATGAAGTTTTATATTATCATAATCAAAAGGAAGCACTAAACCTATCAGGGTAATACAGTGCTGTAGGGTAGGAATTGATGCAGGATCTTAGGATAACAATAAGGGTGGAGATGAAGAAGTATTATAAATCAGCAACCTTCACTCAAGGTGAAAATTGGTAATTTGGAGCTATATATGTTTCAAAACCAATTATTTTTTTAATCACAAAATTTATCTTACCTGTCTAGATGGAAAAGGTTTAACATGGAACTGTGGTGGAAGTTTATTCCATGCTTTGCATGTCTAATGCACTCTTAAGTAATATTAACGTTAAGCATTAGTACAACTTAAGCCATTGTAGATCTCCAATAATGTCAATTGCTCTGAGCATATTTGTCAATCTCCTTCATAGGTTAAGTCACTGTCACACACCAAATGAAATGGAAAGGTGTGTATCCCCTCATTTAGCTGATTTTATTATAATGGTGATGCTGCTTTCACAGTGATTAAAGAACTACTAGTTTGGGTTCCCAGGTTAGTAAGCATTCACCAGTTAACAAGGTGTACAATGTTTAAAATTGAATCATTAACATTACCATATAAATAAGTCTGTCTTTCTTGGTACTCTGTATTTGAATTTGTGTTCCAGTATTATACAAGCTTCAGAAAAATCTGTAGGGATGCAAGATGTATTCACATTGATACTCCCTTTTCCTTGGTATAAAATCTACTGCATGACCTATGACTGATCACAGCCAGATCAGATCTACCTAGACTGCAAGTGGTGTGAAATCTGAGCTGTATAATTTGCCCACTTTGGATTACTGCAGGCTACTCTTACTATTTTTCACCAGACTATTTTTTTTATTAACTCTGTTATTAAATTTTATTTTTCTTAAATTTAATATTTTTTATTTTTTCACTTGTGACCTGCCTTTGCAGAAATGCTATAGAAATGTAATTAGAAGCTTGAATAGATCTATAACCACTATGATAACATGAACATAGATAAGTTTATGCATGGAGCAACTTGCAATGTGAACACACTGACCGATGTCGTTGCCAGGCTTAGGCTTGGTTACAAGCACTTCTGGCAGTTTGGCAGATGATGATCAAACCAAATGCATAGTATGTGGCCAACTCTATGGTCACTATCTTGAACACTGTGCTTAATTGTCCACTTATTGAGGAATATAGAAATACGGTATAATAGCCTATGAAATGTCAAGATATGCTATTAATGAAAATAGGATACCAGACATATTAAGCAAATTTCCTAAATTTGCTTGCAACAGATAAGTAAACTGAAGATATAAATCCAGATGTACTCCTGTAAACCTTGTTGGGGCCAAGTTCCTAAGGTTTTTTTATGCATCCATATACATACCTTTTTGCTACCATCCATGGATATGGGATATGGAGTGCACAATAAAAAAAAATGCAGTTGGAAAGAGTTTTGGCAAATATGTTTGGCAGCCCTGACCTAGAACAATATTTTGGGGAGCTACCCTTCAAGGGGTAAGGGTGCCTTGATGCTGAATGGTTCTTGATTCAAGGAATTAGAGCTGCCCTTCCTCAAATCAAATTTGATTAGCTTCTGTTTTCTAGTAGTTGTATGACCTTTACTGGTTTAAACACTACACTGTAAATATAATAATGAAACAGGAAACTATGTAATTAATTTGCAGTCTCCAAAGAATTACAAATGATAGATAAAACTGAGCATTTGCCAATAATGAAAGATACTTTATTTTGTTACTAATTGTCCTATGATGGTGACAGGTGGAGATGGACGAAGATGTAGGAATTGAGGAACCTATCCCCCACACATTAGGTATCCTCCATGCACTCTCTACTGACTCAGGTGTGATCTCAGTCATCGCTGAAAACTGTCTTGGCTCAGACACTGCCTCAACCACACTTAAGGTAAGTTTTATTACTTGTTACTGCAATTTTTAGTCTGACATCACCTCAGTCATACCCAGGTGTGATAGAAACCTTTTACACAAGAATGTTTTGGGGAGGTACCTAAAGTTGGTACCTGACCAGCCGGGCTGTGGCTCGTACATTGGATCGCGTGCAGCCAGCAGTAACAGCCTGGTTGATGAGGCTCTGATCCACCATGAGGCCTGGTCACAGACCGGGCCACGGGGGCGTTGACCCCCGGAACACTCTCCAGGTAAATTTAAAGAACTTGCTGTTCACCTCTCCATGCTTTAAATTCTTATATTTTTAACAATCTTTAATTCTTTTAATTGCTGTGTTGTAAGAAATAATGTTTCGCAATTTACTGTAATATTTTATAATATGTCATGTTGATAATGGTTGATTATTGAAAGTGGAATATCATTTAGGAATTGGTTATGTGTAGTCTGATATGTGTACTATTTTGTGACACCAAGGCAAACCCAGGGAGGTCTTGAGTGAGTCGCTCAAAAATCTGTAGTGTAGTTCATTTTTAAGCCCCTGCTTTTAGGTGCAAGAGAGGGTTGGAGGATGGTGGAGTGCTCTAGGAGTATTATGAGTAACACTGAAATTGATGGGGATTGAATGGTAAGGGTCCTGGATGAAGAACTGGGGTTGAAGAGCAGTACATGTAGTATTAATTTTATTTTTGGGGCAGATCTCATCACCTACAGTAGTTATCTGAGATTTTAGTAGACTTGCCCACTAAGACGGATCTTATTAGTAATAAAACTTTGATGCATGTAAGGCCATATCTGATTTCATGTACTTTGGGGTGGAGCAATAGAGTTCATAGAAAGCCAGAAGGGGCCAAGCCTTGGAAGTAAGAAGACACAGAAAGAAAGGGCTGGGCCTTAGTCATGGTTGGACCAACAAATGAAATGAAAGTTTTTAAATTAATTGTAATGGGCTAACTAATTGTACGTGTACCTTTTCCCCCAGCAAAGTTTGTATTATCATATTTTGGCATATAGTATGCATGGTAGTACGAGTGAATTTGTCTTTTTCGTGATGGTTACTACCGTATTAATGCATTTAGTGTGATTTTTTACTAAAGAACATAAGGACACTTAATTTTAAAAGCTATAAATTTGAAAAGCCAGTCTAAAACTATCATTAAAAACAGCAGAATTATTGATGGAGATGGAGTTAATTTCAGACTACTCTTTGTAACTCTTATTATCCTATCCTTTATACAGTGCCCTAATTACAAAAGTTGAAGCCTGTTTTTTAATTTAGAATTGTTTGCAAAGTAATTATGAACTCTTTAACAACAAATGTTAATTTCACAAGCTCTTTCAACTCTTATAGAAGTTTATATTGAGAATATTATTTTCAGACAATATCATAGTTATATAATTTGTCTGATAATAGGTGAATCTGTACACCTCACGGGCTCAGTGGACTCCATCTGCTCCATGTACTTCCTCCAACATCAATGTGTCTGGTAGCAACTCATCAGCACTTGCACCACTCCACACCTCTACCTCCCCTGCACCCAGGATAAGACCAATGCTGAAGGAGGTAAGTCTGGTTGAATACCACTTGAGGTTCATTGCTGTATTAAAAAATAGTTTTTGTGTGTGAGGATTTTTCAGTCCTCATTTATAAGAATATTGTAGAGATGGTGTAATAGTCTTTTTTTTTCATGTCTTGAGATTCCTATGTAACCAAAAGTAGGAACTCGTGAAAGTTATTTCCGGTGGAGGGTTATTGGTTACCAACTCTGCCAAGGGTCATGTAGTGTTTTCCTGTCAAAGAATTCTAAGCAGGTGAAGTGTGTACTTACAATATGAGAGCTTAAGACCCCAATGTTCACCAGGTCTCAGATCATTGATGACTTAATATTGCATCATTATGATTGACATTCTCTTGCATACTGAGAGTGCCAGTTAGCATACACTGCTGCCAGCAGTTTGGCAACAGTGCCATGGGTAGAGGTGCAGTGTAGGCTGATCAGGCCAAGTTCTGAATGCCCGAGGGTGCCAGTTTTGCAAAAGAATCCAGAGAGGATACACCATGTCTGGCCATGACTTCAGCTAGGAAGCCTGATTAACTGATTGCATCTCATGACTGCATTAGTGAGAAATGTCACCATCACATATATTTATCATGTGCTCTTTATCATCACTCTGGGCTGTTGAGTTAGGTAGACACAAGAATAATAGTGTATAACTGGACTTGTACAGTTGCCATATCTTGAGTGTGGATTCGTATTGTTGATTGTCCTACATTAATGTTTAATATATTGAGAGTTGGCACTCATGATAAGTCATTCAGGCACATTGATAGAAGTTATTGGTAACCTCTGTTCTGTAGCTAGTGCACTCAGCTCATACTGAGATCCAGGAGTCAGTCCTTGGTATTTATGGAAACATTAGGATGTGTTTCCTTAAGACACCTGCTATCCATGTTCACCTATCAGTAAAATAGGTTCCTGGGTATTAGTTGACTGGTGTGGGTCACATCCTGGGGACAAAATTAATGTAATTTACTCGAGATGCTCTGCATAACAAGGGGCTTTGGTTACAGTAGTATGTCATTGATGTCAACTAGGCCTGTATACCTTGTACACATACTTTGTAGCAATAGATTATTATTATAAGCAGGACATAAATTGATCGGCATCCTGTCCTGATGTCACCATAAGCCCAAGACACAAAAGACCCCAGGAATTACACCTGGGGTGCAGGTGGTTCTCTTTTCTTACCTCATTCATTAAATAGATTGCAATTCATAATTTGTGCAAGGCACAAATTACGAATTGCAGTATTGGTATTAGGGTATGTGTGTTGCCATTAAACTCTGGAACCTATCAGTGTCACATTCAGTGTGTTGTATATTCACCCTCATGTCAAGTCCTACTTTATCCATTGCTAGTGTGCTAGATCATTTATCCTGGTCTGGATCCAGGAACAAAATATACATACACACTTATTATTGTGCCTACTAAATATATACAGAACATTAAACTCCAGTATCAACTCTCCACTCAAACTTCTCCTAGACAGCTTTAACGGAACACACAGGCATAACACGAGGCACAAAACACTTTTTGACATACCTCATGTCCATCTCGCACTATGCAATGTACATAAAGGGCCCGAAGATCTGGAACAGCAAGAGGTCCCCTGCCTGCAAATCAATTTAGGACTATACTTAAAAATCATCTCATCTCTCAATAACTACCATGCCCACACTATGCTAGTCTCTAACCAAATTTGAAGCAACTCTCCCAAATATTTTATTATCCTTTACCTATTAAGCCATTATTACAATATATCTGTATCATAAATTGTACTACCTCGTATTAATAAGAGTAAATTATTGAATATTTGTAATCTATCACTCTTCACCTGTCTAAACTTAAGTAGTCTTTAAGTATTAGGTTAAGTCTTCCCAAAATGCCTTGACATGATAGTGGCTTTCTTTCTACTAATCAGATTATGAAATATAAACATGCATTGTAACCTTTGCAAAGAAATATATTGATTTGATTTGAGTCATCCTGGTAAGTGTAACAGTGTCAAGTTTACTTAGAATTTACAGTTCCTTTGTCAAGGAAGTGTTGAGAGCATCTGTGTGTCATGTAGCTGGCATTCTCTAGGTGGTAGACTGACACTAATTAGTAGTCGATCACATCAGTAAGTATATTCTTGCCATGTCTGTATGCACAGTATGTATACAGCATGTATAAACACGCATGGCCAGAGGCACACATCAACAAAATAGCACCTGCAGTCAATGCTCATTTGACAAATCTAAATGTAGCTGTTAGGAATTCATGACTTCATGCAGTGTCATTCCCATTCTGGAGTATCCAGCACCAGTAATGAATCCACACATGATAAAGCATAGTAAGAAAATGGGGTAAATACAGAGGTATGCAACATGGCTAATTCCAGAGCTAATGGGTGCGATCTATGATGAAAGGCTAAAATAAATGAAACCGATGACAATAGAAAAGAACCAGGGAAGATTTTGATAATGTCAAAAATATTAAAAGGACTTGTTAGATGGATAGACAGAGGCAGACAAAAACCACACAAGGGTGTACACACAGTTGGAGGTTTGACACAATAATAGGCATGTCAGGAAATGTTATTGCATCTTCAAAATGGTTAGGAAGTGGAATGACATGGATGAAGGTGAAGGTAGGCTTCATTCATAGTCTTAAGAGCAGGTGTGACTGGGCCCACAAAACTAGGAGGGAGTGAATCTAGGAAGCAGCAAATTAGACAGGGCCTGGAGCTGTGACTCAGCCCCTGTAACTTTGAATAGGTAAGTGTACACAGTGTAAAATAATTTAATTACATAAAACCTTATTAAATAAAATTTTTTAAGGCAGGGTCTCTTTCTGAATGTGTGTGTGTGTGTGTGTGTGTCTGTGTCTGTCTGTCTGTCTGTCTGTCTGTCTGTGTGTGTATGCACACACATGAGTGAAAGTGAGAGTGAGAGTTAGTGAGTTAATAGGTTGGCAGACAGCAACCACCCAGGGAGGTACTGTCACCCTACCAAGTGAGTGTAAAACGAAAGCCTGTAATCATTTTACATGATGGTAGGATTGCTGGTGTCTTTTTTGTCCTGTAAACATGCAAGAGTTCAAGTACATCTTGCTACTTCTACTTACACTTAGGTCATACTACACATGCATGTTCAAATAAATAAATAAATAAATAAATAAATGAAGGGGGTAGGAGAGTTTCAGTGGGGGAAAATAAATGGGATTAAATCTGGAGTATCTGAGAGAGTTAGAGCAAAGGAAGGGGTAGCAGTAATGTTAAATGATCATTATGGAAGGAAAAAGAGAATATGAATGTGTAAATTCAAGAATTATGTGGATTAAAGTAAAGGTTGGATGCGAGAAGTGGGTCATAATAAGCGTGTATGCACCTGAGAAGAGAGGAATGCAGAGGAGAGAGAAGATTTGGGAGATGTTAAGTGAATGTATAGGAGCCTTTGAACCAAGTGAGAGAGTAATTGTGGTAGGGGACCTGAATGCTAAAGTAGGAGAAACTTTTAGAGAGGGTGTGGTAGGTAAGTTTGGGGTGCCAGGTGTAAATGATAATGGGAGCCCTTTGATTGAACTTTGTATAGAAAGGGTTTAGTTATAGGTAATACATATTTAAGAAAAAGAGGATAAATAAGTATACAAGATATGATGTAGGCCGAAATGACAGTAGTTTTTGGATTATGTATTGGTAATAAAAGACTGTTGAGTAGACTTCAGATGTACATGTTTATAGAGGGGCCACAGATATATCAGATCACTTTCTAGTTGTAGCTACACTGAGAGTAAAAGGTAGATGGGATACAAGAGAATAGAAGTATCAGGGAAGAGAGAGGTGAAGGTTTATAAACTAAAAGAGGAGGCAGTTAGGGTAAGATATAAACAGCTATTGGAGGATAGATGGGCTAATGAGAGCATAGGCAATGGGTCGAAGAGGTATGGGTAGGTTTAAAAATGTAGTGTAAAGAGTGTTCAGCAGAAGTTTGTGGTTACAGGAAAGTGGGTGCAGGAGGAAGAGGAGCGATTGGTGGAATGATGATGTAAAGAGAGTAGTAAGGGAGAAAAAGTTAGCATATGAGAAGTTTTTACAAAGTAGAAGTGATGCAAGGAGGGAAGAGTATATGGAGAAAAAGAGAGAGGTTAAGAGAGTGGTGAAGCAATGTAAAAAGAGAGCAAATAGAGAGTGGGTGAGATGTTATCAACAAATTTGTTGAAAATAAGAAAAAGTTTGGGTGAGATTAACAATAAAGAAGCCTAGAGGACAAATGGATTTGGTCAGTTAAAAATAGGAAAGAAGTTAATTAATGGGATTTAGAGGTATTGGAAGATGGAGGGAAATTTTGAGGAATTGTTAAATGTTGAGAAATAGGGAAAGCTGTGTTTTCGTGTTAGACAAGGAGGAAAACTTTGATGAGGAAGAGCCATTTGGATGGGGAAGTTCGTGAGGAGGTAAAATGAAAGGGAAGCGCCGGATTGATGGGATAAAGAAGAAATGTAAAAGCAGGTGGGGATAAGTGGAGTGGTTGGGCAATTATTTAATAATGTAGGAAGGGGTAAGGACCTAGTGTGGCGAGAGCATGCATACCTTTGTAAAAGGCAAAGGGGAAAAGAGAGTGCAAAAATTAAGGAGGATAAGTCGCTGAGTATTCCTGGTAAAGGATGGTAGAGTTATTATTGAAAGAATAAGAGTAAGACGGAGAATAGGATGAACAGGAGGTTTAGAAAGGATGGGGTGTGGACCAGGTGTTACAGGAAAATTAAGTGAACAGTTTTAGATAAGGCTAAAGAGGTTTTTGGGATTTATTGATTTGGAAAAGGCAATGACAGGGTGGATAGGGGGCAATGGGGGCAATGTTGCAAGTGAGGTGTAGGAGTAGGTTACTAAAAGCAGTGAAAGTTTTTAACGAAGGTTTGGGAGGCTCAAGTTAAGTAGTGGGAAAGGGGGAAATTTTTTCCCAGAAAAAGTAGGCCTTAGACAAGGATGTGTGATGTCCCCGGGTTGTTTAATATATTTATAGATGGGGGTTTTAAGAGAAGAAACGAGGGTCTGGCAAAGGCGTGGGGTTAAAAATAA